ATAAACAGCAGTGATGCATGATTTTACAGCACTTTTACAAATAATTCAGTGCAAATAGGCCTACAACATAAGGAAAGTTTAAACCAGTTTTTAAATCATGTTGTTAGGCCAAGTAGATCTTAAGAGATGATAAAAGTATATGCTAAATTTATTATTTTTAAAAGACGTCTGATTTGATGCACTCCGCATCGCCAGGAGGAAATGCGTGCGGGGAGGAGGGAGACCTTAAATCCACCGTTTCATCCTCCTCCTCTGGGGCCAAAAGTATAAAAACTCTCCAGTTTTTTCTGACTGAGGCTCAAAGTTATTTGTTGAGCAACAAAACGGTTCAGGACAGGGGGCTGCTTCAGAACCGGTTACTGGGTCAGAACAATGTTTTAGTCAAACAGAACCAACAACAATGAAACAAAAAGTAAAGAATTAGAGAAAAAAATAAATGTTAAATGTAAATAAATTCTAATTATAGTAAATTAATAATAGTTTTACATCTAAAATCATATTTTATTATTTTAATCTATTTTCTTCATTCAGCAACCTATTAAATTTCTGTTATGTTTCATGTAGGTGAAATACACATTTGTTTTCAGTCAGTATTTAATACAGCTGGCAAAATAAATTGTTAAAATATGTATTATGTGCTTCTGGTTTTTAATTCAGGAGATTATAAAAAAAATCCTTCATTTTATGGGAAGACCCTCTTGATTCAAGAGAAAACTGTTTTTTTATGGCTGCTTATTAACTAATTGTTAATCAATCGATAAGATAAATCAACTTCAGATTAATTCATTATCGGTAACTTGAATCCTTAAGGAGTTAACTTAATTTATATCTACTCATATGCATTTAATTAAACGTTTTAATGATTCAATTAATCGAAAAAATAACCAACAGATTAATCGATAATTAAAATAATCGTTAGTTGCAGCCCTATTGAATAGTGTGTGTTAATTGTTGTCAATTGATTTATTTTATAAATAAACTGAGATGACTGGTAAGCAGCAAATCAGGCTTTCAAAACCTTTTTTAATTTTGGTTAAGTGCATTCATCATGATCATAATTTGTTGACACATTTTATCCCCACAAAGTGTATTAACTAAAAACCCTCAGCACACTGCTGGGCAACAGATCAACACTGACTCTTTAATGTAGAAAATGAATAACTGATCATCTGATCTAAAACATGTGATTACTAACATCATCTGCCATTACTAATTTGTTGTAAATAAAGATAACCTCCTGTTTCTCCCTGCAGTACCACCAGAGGGCAGATTTGCAATTGGAAAAAAATCACAGTGAAGTTTGTAAAAGAAAAGTGCTGAAAAGGTTTAAATGTTTGCAAAATTCAAAACACTATGGTGTTGCCACTTAAAGCTTGTGGGATAGGAACAGAGAATTGTACTGATTGTGAAGACACCACCAACGACCAGAATTAGAAAACTGTGTTGATTCCGTAACGTAAGAAATGTTCACAAAGCATTAATGACATAAACATGCATTCAAACATTCAACTCTGTCAAAGGTTTAAACCACCCAAAATCTGGCTTTGAAAGGTCCCATTTATAAGAAACTCCATGTTTTGAGGTTAGAGGTCAGTATGGGGTGGAAAGTGTCAGGGCTGAAATACTGCTCAAAGAAAGTGGTTTCCTCTGACAGAGCTGAATTTTTACTGAGGAAAAAATAATTCATTACATTTAGAGCTTTCAGTTATCCTTCTCACTCTCAAGGAGGAAGAGGCTTTTTTTCGAAACATCTGTGGGTGAACAAAATCAGACAAGGAAAAACATCAGCTTTGACGAGACACGGTGATAGTTCTCCGCCAGGGAGAACATGGTGCACACAGAGGAAGAACTACGAGAAAGATCATCTTCAGAGTTGTCATCACGTTACAGCCTCCACTGCTTAGGTAAAACAAAATATACATAGCATTGGATTATTCACAATGAGCTGAGCAGCTGCTAAAACCTGTAGTCTTTACTTTGGTAGCAAGTTATCTATTCATAACATCCAAGAATACTACACAGTATGTCATTTTATCACAACACTTCATAATCACTCAATCACATATTCCTTCAGTTCACCAGTTCCTGAAAGTTGTGAACCATCACATCAAATGGAGGATAAACCAAAGACGTAAATGTGTTTAGTATACAACACCTGGCAAAAAGTGTGGAATCACCAGTCTTGGATGAGCACTCATTCAGACATTTCATTCTGTAAAACAAACTCAGATCAAAAACATGATACAATAATAAGGTCATTCCAAAGTGCAACTTGTTGGCTTTTCAAAGAACTGAAGAGAAAACATTGTGGAAGTCAGTGAATGTTACTGTAATTGACTAAGCACAGGGAAAAATATATGGATTCACTCAATTCAGAGGGAAAAAAGTATGGAATCATAAAAACAGATAAACAAAAGACCATTCAAAATACATCACTAGTATTTAGTTGCACCACCTTTGGCTTTTATAATGACTTGCAGTCTCTGAGGCATGGACTTGATGAGTGACAAACAGTATTCTTCATCAATTTGGTGCCAACTCTCTTTGATAGCAGTTGCCAGATCAGTTTTGCAGGTCGGAGCCTTCTTGTGGACAATTTTTTTCAATTTCCACCACAGGTTTTCAATTGGGTTGAGATCTGGACTGTTTGCAGGCCATGAAATCGACTGAATGTGTCTTTGTCCAAGGAATGCCTTCACTGTTTTTGCCCTATGGCACGTTGCATTGTCATCTTGGAAAATTATTTCATCTCCTCCAAACATCTGTTCAATTGAAGGGTTGAGAAAACTGTCCAAAATGTCAATGTAAACTTGTGCATTGATAGAAGAATGAATCACAGTCATCTCCCCAGTGCCTTTGCCTGACATGCAGCCACATATCATCAAGGACTGTGGAAATTTGGTTGTTTTCTTCAGGCAGTCCTCTTCATAAATCTCACTMGAACGGCACCAAACAAAAGTTCCAGCATCATCACCTTGTCCAATGCAGATTCTTGACTCATCACTGAAGATAACTTTCACCCAGTCATACACAGTCCATGATTTCCTCTCCTTAGCCCATTGCAGTCTTGTTCTCTTTTGTTTACGTGTCAATGATGGTTTTCTTTTAGCTTTCCTGTATTGAAATCCCATTTCCTTTAGGAGATTTCTTACGGTTCAGTCACATTGGCTCCAGCTTCCTCCCATTTATTCTTCATCTGTTTAGTTGGACTTTTTCAGTTTTCAAGACAAATGGCCTTAAGTTGTTTGTCTTGAGGCTTTGATGTAATTTTTGGTCTACCAGTACGCTTGGCTTTAACAACTAGGGCTGCAACAACGAATCGAGAAAATCGATAAAAATCGATTWTTAAAAGCGTTGGCAACAAAATTTCATTATCGATTCATTGTGTCACGCGATTTATGCATCCCTCCATGTCGCGGAGCCGTTTACGTCACCCGCTGAGCGTTGTCAATGCTGGCTGACCTAAATAAAGTTTAGGAAGAAAAAAACTCTACCTGTAAAGATCCGCCCTCTGAGACCCTCGAGTGAAAAGTAGAGACTGTGAACTTTAAACCAGTTTTTAAATRGTGTTGTTAGGCCAAGTAGATCCGAAGATAGGATTAAAAGTATACTGTATACCACATTTAATTTTTTTAAATGACGGTCTGATTTGATGCGAGCCGCGTCGCGAGGAGGAAACGCGTGCGGGAAGGGAGCGGGGGGAACCTAAACCCACCGTTTGTTTCGTCCTCTCGGGCAAAAAGTAAAAAAACCCTCTAGTTTTTTTTCTGACTGAGGCCCAAAGTTATTTGTTGAGCAACAAAAAGGTTCAGGAATAAGGAATAAAAATAAAAAAGACGCGATTGAGCAGCAGGTCTGCAGGGAGAGGGGAGGAGGG